AATTTCTCAAAGTCATGTAAGAAAACTACTTCTCAAATAATGTATATGGGATACTTAATCTATTTATACTAGTTATACTCGTTTTAGTTATTCTAGTTGTACTAATTTAAGTTGTACAAGTTATACTAGTTTTACTAGAGTGAGTTATATTAGTTGTATTAGTTTGAGTTGTACTAGTTGTACTAGTAATACTTTGCGTTCTTCATTATTTTGAATTTCGTATGTAAAATATGAAATTTGATTCTGGGTAAAATATAATTGAGTAAATATGATTATGGGCTGATCGATTTGAGATAAGAGAAATAAAATTAGTGGATGGTTGAAGAATTTTTTTGATTTTATTTCATGGTGGAAGAACTTGTCCAAGAACTTTGAATGAAGAAGAAAAAAGAAAGAAGAAGGAGATTGGGTGGGTTTTTGGATCTGGATCTGGATATTTGGATCTGGGTCGGATGTTGGGTAGGATAGTAGTGGCATAGGTTAGTAAATAAGTTGAAGTCCTTAGGCTTTTTAGTTATTTCATTAAAATTTCTATTTAAATTTAATTGTAAAATGAAATAAAAAAAGGATAGGTCTAATTGAGATTTTTTGAAGACCATTTGGTCTATTTCAGCATTTGATCCGTGTCGTCCGGAACAAAGGGATGCGCTTCTCCTGTTCAAGAACGAATTTGAGGTTCTAAACTCTTCCTCTGCTTATAGTTATTGTATTTATAATGGTATTAAGCCTCATCGGAAGACCGAGTCATGGTTGAATAACAGCGACTGCTGTAATTGGGAGGGTATCACCTGCAATGCCAAGTCTGGTGAAGTGATCGAGCTGGACCTTAGTTGCAGCTACCTAGGTGGCAAGTTTCAGTCCAATAGCAGTCTTCAAAACGTTCATTCTCTAACCTCTCTAAACCTTTCAAGTAATGATTTCAGTGGTCAAATCATGTCTTCAATTAGAAATCTTTCTCATATTACTTTTCTCAAACTTTCACAAAATAGTTTCAGCGGTTTTATTCCTTCTTCAATAGTAGACCTTTCTTATCTCACATATCTCGATCTTTCATCTAATAGTTTTTCGGGTCAGATCCCATCTTCGATTGGAAATCTTTCTCATCTCACCTATCTTGATCTTTATTCTAATAAAATATCGGGTCAGATTCCATCTTCAATTGGAAATCTTTATAACCTCGCTTATCTGGACCTTTCTTGGAATGATATTGTTGGGGAAATCCCATCTTCTTTTGGCAATCTAAACCAGCTGACCCGCTTAGGTGTTAGTCTCAATAGGCTCAATGGAAGCTTTCCCATTGCACTACTGAATTTGACAAAGTTGTCATCTTTAAGACTCGATGGCAATCAGTTCACAGGAACAATTCCTCATAACATCAGTTCACTATCCAAATTGACGACCTTTGATGCAAGAAGCAACGCTTTCACTGGAACCCTGCCTTCTTCTCTCTTCACCATTCCTTCTATTGAAGAAGTTTATTTGTCTGGTAACCAATTCAATGGTATTCTTGAGATTGGGAATATATCTTCACCACCTAAGCTACGATTGCTATACCTTGGCCGAAACAACTTGAGAGGGCCAATCCCGGCAAAGATATCCAAATTTACCAACCTTGTCTGGCTTGAACTTTCCCATTACAAGACACAAGGTCCAGTTGACTTTACTATCTTCTCACATCTCAAGTTGCTCCAGTCTCTTGAGCTATCCTATTTGAACACGACCACTACCATTGACTTGAATGATTTCTTGGCATATTTTAAGAGTCTCAGTTACTTGGTTCTCTCAGGCAACCATGTTTCTGCCAGTCCAGTTTCAGTTTCAGATCCCCCTTTGTTTTATGAGTTGCACTTGTCAGGCTGCGGTATCACCGAGTTTCCGGAGTTTGCAAGATCGCAAAATATGATGACTCTAGACATTTCCAACAATGAAATCAAAGGACAAGTGCCTGGCTGGTTATGGACACTACCAGGTCTGTATTACCTGAATCTTTCCAACAACACTTTCACCGGTTTTGAAAACTCAACAACAGTTTTACTTTCAAGGCTATCTAACATAACTTTGCTTGCCTCCAACAACAATTTCATTGGAAAGATTCCCTCTTTGATATGTGATTTGCGCTTCGTAGAAGCTCTTGATTTATCAAACAACAACTTCAGTGGTTCAATCCCTCGTTGTCTGGGTAATCTCAAGCATACTCTTTTAGATCTAAACCTTCGTCAAAATTGTCTTCATGGAAGTCTTCCGGATTATATATTTGAAAGATTAAGAACACTTGATGTCGGTCATAACCAACTGACGGGAAAGCTTCCAAGATCTTTGATCCATTCTTTTTATCTTGATGTTCTGAACGTGGAAAGCAACTTTATCAATGATACCTTTCCGTTTTGGTTGAGTTCTCTATCAGAGCTTAAAGTTCTTGTGTTACGCCACAACTCCTTCCATGGACCGATACATCAAACTTCGTTCCCTAAGTTGCAAATCATCGACATATCACATAATCACTTCAATGGAACTTTGTCATCAAACTACTTTGACAGTTGGAGTGCTATGTCGTCAACACTTGAGACAAATTATGATCAGCGGTATGACAAGTACATGGGTTTTGCATATTACCATGATTCAATGGTGTTGATGAATAAAGGTTTAGAGATGGAGCTTGTACGCATCCTGAAGATCTACACAGCACTCGACTTTTCAGGAAACAAATTTGAAGGCGAGATTCCAAGGTCCATCGGTCTATTGAAAGAGCTTCTTGTGTTCAACTTGTCCAACAATGCATTCACTGGCCACATCCCTTCATCTATGGGAAACTTGACAGCTCTTGAGTCACTAGATGTTTCCCGAAACCAGCTTTCAGGAGAAATTCCGCAAGAGCTAGGGAGCCTCTCATTCCTTTCCTACATGAACTTCTCTCATAACCAGCTTACAGGTCTTGTACCAGGCGGCACTCAGTTTCGAAGGCTGAACTGCACTTCCTTTGAGGATAACAATGGACTTTTTGGCCCTTCTCTTGACGAAATTTGCAAAGATATTCACATGGCAACACCGCATGGAACGCTGGAATCAGAGAACGAAGAAGAAGAGGAGGAAGAGGTGTTGAGTTGGATAGCAGCTTTAATAGGAGTCGTACCTGGTATTGTCTTTGGTTGGGTGCTTGGATACATACTTGTTTCCAGCAGACCAGAGTGGTTCATTGTCCGAAACAAACGCAGACGCAGCAGCAACACAACTCATTAAACATGTAATATTCCAGAGTCTTAAATCAACTTGCTAGCTAACCTTTTTGTTAAATAAAATCACCTGAATAAACTTTTTTTTTGGTATATAGGTCTTCTATAACATACCTGGAGAATCTGAAAGAATAAATTCAAAGGAACCCCCATGTCCCAAATCTGGATTAGTGAAGGTTTGGGTTATTGTTTCTGGTATAGCTTTTGGTGTGTGTTGTCTATCTACCTCTCTATTTTTACATTATTAGCAAACTTCTTTGTTTCTCTGTAATTGAAAAAAAAAACTCTGTTCCTTGCGTTGTAAACTACTCAGCTCAATCAAAGATGTGTTGTTTTTCCCCCTCTTTTGTTATTTTAACATCAACTTAGACGTGATTAGAGCAACAAACTAATGATCCATTATTGATGGTTTGTGACTTTGTGTGTTGCTTACTGATTTTGCTACAATCAATTGGATGGGATAGGATTAAGTCTATTTATCATTGTAAAACCCTAATTAATGTCATGATGATTAGAAGAAATGTTAATAGGATCATAAGAAAACTTTGCAACTTTGCACGCATGGGATATTTGTTAGAGAGAACCAATAAAATCCTATATTCACCCTTTTAAAGATATTTCATTTTTTTCAGTACGATATTTATAGTTCGTCTACGGTATAATCTTTCTAAATCAAAACGTCACGCTTCACTCAATTTCGTAGCGAAAAAGAAACAATTCAAAGTAAGACGAAAGCAGGTTAATTTAATATTATCGCCTTATCCAACGAGTATTTTATGAAAAAGACGAGAGAATTTTCGTAAGTGATGTTAAAATACGTCAAATGAAATGTTGTTGTTGTAATGATTTTTAGTCATTACTTTTTTTAATGGAACAAAAGATATAACCATGGCGATGGCTGAGAGCTAGGGTTTCGATGCTTTTTCGAGATGGGGATTTGGGGAATCAAATGGCACGTCAGATATCTTCCTGGTTTTGAAGGCCCTCTACTTTTTCAGCTTGAAACCAGGTATATCCCTCTTCATCTTCTAAGGTTTAATCGCGTAGGTACATTAATAGGTTGGTGAGACAGATGAAGATCAAATGTTCTACTAGTTTATAAAATCTGAGAGGGGCCAATAAGAGGATCCTCTTCTTGTCTGGTTAGCTGGAGGACCTGCCTACTTTTCTTCTTTCTCTGGACCGCTTGTTTTTAAGGCGGAGACATACAATGGAAGTGTCCCATCCTTGGTCTCTAGACTCTCTACTATTCAAGATGTCGTCGGGCCTTCTGAAGCTCCGTTTCGCAATCTCTGCTCAGATTCTGAATAAAAAAAATGTGGTTAATACACCCAGAACCACATCAGTAACCCGAGTTTTTTTAGAACCACCGGTGAGGTATACACGAAATACGTGCAGGATCATCATTAGGACCATCTATGAACGCTCATATACTTGCCGACCATCTATGAACGCTCATATATTTTTCCTTGTCAACGATGTTTAATGCCATATTATTAAGACAATTTATGGATCCAACTTTCGGGTAGGGTATTTTGCAAATAGTTATTAATATAAAGTAGCTACTAGCCATATATAGTTTGTAGCAAACGACAGATACAACATGCATGACATGCTATTATTGAAAAGCAAATTCAGTTCTCTAGAGTTTTTTTATAACAATAATTATTATTAGGGCTTTGCACGAAACAACATTTGTGGGGGTAAGCCACAAAGTTTGAGGATCTATTCGGTCAGATTATTATCACCATCCGCTTACTCTCACTCGGCTCATTCTTCTTCAGCTACATTCATCTGCTCCATGAAATTCTTCCTCAGATCCATCATCTGCTTCTTCCTCTCCTCATTAGAATCCTCTTCAAACTCCTTCAAATTCATCTGTTCAAAGGAAGACTCACCTCCTTCATCACCAATTTCCAAATTGTCTGCCTGCAACCAAAAAAAATAAAAATAAATGAGAGAGGTGTCATAGTTGTTTGGGAGAAAGCAGGTTCTCTATTTGTTAACTTGCCTTCTCCTTCTCGGCCTTCTCCTTCTCTGCCTTCTCCCTCTCGGCCTTCTCCCTCTCCACCTTCTCTACCTCGTCCGCCTTCTCCCTCTCTGCCTTCTCTACCTCGGCCTTCTCCTCCCTTGCCTTCTCGGCCTTCTCCCTCTCTGCCTTCTCTGCCTTCTCCCACTCCCTCTCCCTCTCGGCCTTCTCCCTCTCTGCCTTCTCTGCCTTCTCTGCCTTCTCCCTCTCCCACTCCCTCTCCCTCTCGGCCTTCTCCCTCTCTGCCTTCTCCCTCTCCCACTCCCTCTCCCTCT